ATGCATCTCATTGGGGTCTTCTTCTTTTTCTCTGACCCTCCACCTTACCAAAAATTATGTCCTTCTCCAGCAACTGGTGCCTCCTGACAATATGTCCGCAGTATGAGAGACGAAGTTTGGCCATCCTGGCCTCCAAGGAGCACTCTGGCTGCACTTCTTCCAAAATGGATCTATTGGTTCTTTTGGCAGCCCATGGCACTTTCAGTATTCTCCTCCAACACCACAACTCAAAGGCATCAATTCTTCTATGGTCCTCCTTATTCACTGTCCAGCTTTCACATCCATATGACGCTATTGAGAGAAGCCCTGGTGCACAGTGGTAAAGTGCTCAGTTACTAACCCAAAGGTCCGTGGTTCAAACCCACCAGCCACTCCAAAGAAGAAAAACGAGGCAGTGTGTTTCTGTAAAGATGACAGCCTTGGAGACTCTATGAAGGTGTTCTGCTTGCTTCTATGTTGCTGTTAGGTGCACTCAAGTCTGGACCAACTCATTGTGATCTTGTGCACAACAGGACAAAACACTGTCCGGTCCTGTGCCAACCTCACAATTGTTGCTACACTTGAGCCCATTACTGCTGCCACTGTACCAATCCACTCATTGAGGGTCTTCCTCTTTTTCTCCGACCCTCCACTTTACCAAACCTGATGCCCTTCTCTGGGAGCTGGCTCCTTCTTAAAATATGTTCAAAGTATGAGCTGGCTTTCAAGGAATATTCTGGCTGAACTGCTTCCAACATCGATTTGTTTGTTCTTCTGGCTGTCTATAGCATATTCAATATTTTTTGTCAACATTATAATTCAAAGACATTAATTCTTTGGTCTTCCTTATTCATTGTCCAACTTTCACATATATATGAGGTTATTGAAAATACCCTGGCTTGAGTCAGGCGCACCTTAGTCCTCAAACTGCCATCTTCGCACTTGAACACTTTAAAGAGGTCTTGTGCAGCAGATTTGCCTAATGCAATCTGACGTTTGATTTCTTGACCGCTGCTTCCATGAATGTAGGGTTGCTATAAGTTGGCACCGTCACCATGGCAGTGGGTTACCTTTGGATGAGGTCTTCCGAACCCCTTAGATCTCACCACGCACACTATTTTCCCTGTGCCCCTCTGTGAGGTGGTCTCCCTGGGGCTGCAAGTTTTGGGCCAGTCCTGGCCCTGCTTCCAACATGCCCCTGAGGAAGGAACCATTTGGCTTTCAGGGTACCAGGGTGGAGCCTGCTGGAGGAAGAAGAAAGGGGCTGTTTGCTACACTGAGCCACACTACCTCTGTTGTGTTCTGCTAAGACCCCACCCAGGGCCGGTGGTCCCAGCAGGATGGTAGATGAGCTATCCGGGGCTATGTCTGAATGCAAGAAAATGTGTCTTGCCACTCTGGACCTGCCCTTTGTCCACTGTCCTGGTGGAGCCGCTCGCTCCTCACAGGTAGACATCTCAATGGCAACAAGTTTAACCCTTCCTGAGACCTCCAGTCTTGCATTCCTCAGCTACAGGAACTATATCAGCGAACTGGACCATGCCCTGACCCTGTTCACAGGCCATGGGCTTTCATCTTCCCCGGTTTCGCTGGAAGCCCCTTTGAGAGCTTTCTGTATTGAGACGCATCCGAATCACCAGGGAGGTTTGTATCAAAGGCAGTACCCTGGTTCCTGTCTCAGAGATGCAGCCATGGGCAGCCCTAGTCCAGCTGCCTCTTCACAAGCTCCTCCCATGATGCTGATGGAAAAGATCCATGGAAAAGGCTTGGAGAAACATACGTTTGGTGGTTTTAGCTGCCTTTTCTCTCTTCTGGGACCATATTTCTACAACTCTTGGAAGGATAAGCTCCCTCCCAATTTCTGTCTTATTACAAACAAGTGGTTAGGCCCCACCCATTTCCATCACTTACGACATAACATTGAGGCTTATCTTCCCAGGAAGCACTCCGAGGGAACCCTGCCACACCTTGCAGTAAGTAACCACAGCTAATTTGCTTTTCCTTCCCCCTCCCTGCCTTGGGGAGCTAGCACCTTTCTTACTTAAACAAATGTGTCTTTCTATCTTATTATCTTTGTATCCTATTGCTGTTGCTGTTGCTAAGTGTTGTCAAGTTGGTTCTGAGTCGTTGTGACCCTGTATAGGGTTTCTAAGGAGCAGCTTGTGAATTTGGACTTCGACCCTGTAGCTCAAACCAACCTTGCAGTCCAACAGCACCACCCCAGGACTCTACCCCTCTGTTCTTTTACATCATGCAATTCAATAAGGTGAGCATCTGTGTCTCTGAGATTGCCCTCCCCTACCCAGACCCTGTCCCGCTGCTCCTGTAGTGGAGGGCAAGCCATCACTCATTCACAAAACAAAAATATTTGGAGAACCTACTAGGTGCTCTGGTAGCATAGTGGTTACGAATTGGGCTGTGAACCTTAAGATCAGCAGTTCGAAATTACCAGTCAGTCTATGGGAGAAAGATGAGGCTTTCTGCTCCTGTAAAGATTTACAGCCTCGGAAGCCCTGTACAGGGTCGCTATGGGTCAGAACCAACTCAACGGCACTTAACAACAACAACTATGTGCTAGGTACTGCTTTGGACATCTTAATCCATCCATCCCTTCAACTCTCAATTCCTCCATTCTTCCTTTCCCTTATCCTCTCTTCTTCTATTCATCTGCTCATTCTTCCATCCATTCATCCTCCTATCCATACATACATGTCTTCACCCATCCATTCATCAGTGCATCCATTCATCCATCTATCCTTCATCCAGCCTTCCACCTATCCGTCGCTTCATCCTTCCATCAATTCACCTATCCCTCCATCTTTACGTCCATCCATCTATCCATCCATCCTTCATCTCTTCATCCCTTTCTCCATCTATCCATCCACCCACCAATCTCTTTATCCCTCCTTCCATCCATCCCTTCATATAGTGAGAGATCTCCAAGGCCACATCCGGTTTGAGCATACAAGTCCTCAACCACATGTTGCGCCCACCCCTGCTCACAGAGAGCAGTCAGCACAGGTGTGTGACAACCGCACTGAGCCACAACGACAAGTGGGAGAGTCCAGCAGTGGAGGGTGCTGCCTGATGGTGGAGAAGTAGCACTGAGCTTTGAAGGGCAAGGAGGACGCAGTAGCAGAGCCTGGAACTCAGAAAGCACAGGTGGGCTTGGCTGGAAGGGAAGTGGCTTGCAGAGAAGTGGGGTAGAAAAGACGAGAAAGCCTCTTCCTACGATAGACGGTTGGCTAAGTCAGGCTGAGGCGTTTGGTTATGTCCCCTTCAGGCCACGGTGGAGGTTCAGACTGAACCCAACCCTCAGCACCCTCACCACCACCACCACACTGAGTTGACTCTGATTCATGACAACTCCATGGGTGTCAGACTAGAATTTTGTTCCATTGGTTTTCAGCGACTGATTTTTCAAAATTCAATTGCCAAGTCTCTCTTCCAATATGCCTGCCAGTGGACTTGAGCCTTCAACCATTCAGTTAGCAGTTGAGCACGTTAATCATCTGCACCGCTCTATAGGTTAGGGTTTTTGGTTGAGGATTACAAAAGTTAAGTGCTTAGCTCAAGATGTGACCTAGAAAAAGTGCTCAAAAACTGGCCAGCTATTGGAAGTGTTCATTTGTTTTTAATACTTTAATGCTTAAAGGAATTAGCAACAGCAAGTGGGAATGCTGCATTGAATGGAAGGAGGAAAGCAGAAAGGTCTGCTTGAGCACTGGTCAAGGGACCAGGAGATGTGAATGTACAAAACAATAAAGGAAAACGCATCCACAGTATGAGAAAACCTCTGCAGAGATGCCCAGCACACAAATTAATGAACTTAACTTGGTTGTTGGGAGCCATTGATTTAGTTCCGACTCGTAGTGACCCATGCACAGCAGAATGAAACACTGGCTGGTCCTGTGCCATCCTCACAGTTGTGACATTTAAACCCATCACTGCTGCCACTGTGCCAATCCATCTCGTTTGGGGATCTTCCTCTTTTTCGCTAACCCTCCACTTTGCCAAGTATGATGTCCTTCTCCAGGGACTGGTCAACTTGTCCAAAGTAGGAGAAAGGAAGTCTTGTTATCCTGGCTTCTAAGGTGCATTCTGGCTACACTTCTTCCAACACGGATTTGTTTGTTCTTCTAATAGTTCATGATACTTTGAATAATGCTTGCCAACTCCATAATTCAAACGCAGTGATTCTCTGCTGGAGGTAATAAATCATGTTAACTCCTTCTGCTGAATCTGAAATAAAACCTTAGAAAAGTCAAAGTCAAACTAAGAATTCTTGGTGGTTGAGATGGGAGAGAAAGAAAAGGAGAAGGGGGAGGGGGAGGTTCTTCCCCTGAAAGCTGAAGGGTTCTTCATGTCTGTTGTTTAATGCCGTCGAGTCGGTTCTGACGCATAGAGAGTCCTACGTAGGGTTTCCGATGCTTTAAATATTCGCGAGAGCAAAAAAACTCATCTTTCTCCTGCGGAGCGGCTAGTGAACTCGGTGTTTTGCAGTCCAATGGGAGCTGCACTATTCATCTAGACCAGCAGAGGGATGAGATGCAGAAATGGGAAGGCAAACGCCTATGAGTAAACGCCTTTGTAAATCTTGAGCCATTGCAGAGACCGTAGCAGGCTTCCTCCGTGGGAGGGTTTAACTGACCGGAAGCGGAAGTCTCGTTCTCTTCCGTCCTCCTCGCTTCTTGTCGCTGGCTGTGAGTGTCTCGGGAGGTAAACGGGGAAGAGGGAGTAATCTCGGGCAATCCTCTGCCTGGTAAAACATGGGGAGTCCACAGCTGGATCGAGGATGCAGGGAAAGGAATGTGGGGTGCGATGATGCCGATATTTGGGCGATGGGGAGAGGAGGGAAGCGGGGTCGCTGTCCGTTCTCGCACCCTACTAATACCTAGGAACGTCTTCCCCGCAGGTACCGGTCCGCGCGCGTTCCGCCGCCATGGTGAGTACGGGCCCTACCTGGGGCCAGGCAAGGCAAGGTGGGCTTCTCAAGGGTCTCCGGAGACCCTAGAGTGGAGATGGAAATGACCACGTCCGTCCACGTAGTGTACGATCCCGGCTTTGTGGCTAGAGGCGGGGGTGGAGAGGTGGACCCCGGGAAACGAGACCGCGTGGTACGATAATGAGGACACAGGACGCTCTCCGTGTGTCAAAACCCATGCAACTGTAAGCAGTGACGTTTAGTTGTTGAAAACGTGTCGGTATTGGTTCGTGCAGCGTGGACTCGAGCTCTCTGGTTGCAGGTTGCACACGGGTCACCGGGAGTTGGGGTCAACCGACAGCGGGTAGTTAGCCAGTTGTAACTAATGGTCACACCGCACAGGATCCTAAGGACAAAACTGCTAGGGGGAGGGGGCATTTGGAAATGACTTCCTGTAAACCTGAAGCTGTTCTCAGAAACCATAGATTATTTTTTAAATTATTATTTGGAAAAGCGCATCTCTGAATTCCTTCTCCATTTCCTTTGTGTTCCAGCCTCGCAAAATTGAGGAAATCAAGGACTTTCTACTCACAGCCAGGCGAAAGGATGCCAAATGTAAGAGGATGCAAGAAATCTGTAAATGACAAGTGCTGGGTCTGTGGGCTGCTCCCTGCCTGCCAACACTTTCTTCCCTAGAATGTCTGTGGGTTAGGTGTTGAAATCGATGCTTGGCTCTTACCATACCTTGCTGAAGCCTGTTTGGCCAACATGAGCTATGAGCTGGTGGACATCTCTAAGGACTCATCCTTAGCTGATTCTTGTACAAGTTGGTTTTCCTCTTGTGTATACAGTAGGTGCTCAGCATGGAAGACTTCTAGATGGAACATCCCATAAACACCTGTGCTGGGTAGAGCCCCTGCTCATGATAAATCAGCTACTACGTGGTTTTGTTTCTGTACATTTTCTATTCCCTGGCTCATAGTGACTCTGTCCAACAGAACCGGTCATTGCCTGTCCCTGCACTGTCCAGTGTGTGAGCCCATCTCCTAGAGAGTGTTCCTCCACCCTGATGTTCTGTCTCTTGTCCAGCTCTCACATGCATATGCTCTGATTGAAAACACAATGGGGCCTTTGTCTTTATCTGTGGGGAAAACAAACAAACTGACAGAGGTGTGCAGGAAACCGCTAGGTGTTAGACTGTGTGTCCGTGGGTATTCTCATTGTCTAAGCCAGACCCCACGTAGAGCTGTGCTTTGTAGCTGGGGCTTTGTGAGCTTGTGCACGGAAGAGATGCCTAGAATTTCCACCTTGTTCTGTGCTTCCCCTCCGACTTGCCACAGAGAGCATCTGGTAAGTCATGAATGTAGGATCGTGGGGTTGGTGAGTGGAAGTGCACAGTTGCTCTGGCTGAGACACCAGCCATTTCTAATGCTCTGGCAATGGCGGGACCCCGTGGTGGTGTGCAGGCAGACCCGTGGGAGCAATTCCAGACGGGGTGGGTGTGTATTCCAATCAGCAAGTTAAGCAGCCGCCTCCTTCCATTAAAGGCAGGGTGGGTGATGGGCCGATTGGTGCCCGCCACCATTAAAGCCTTTGGCACATTGACGAAATGATGCCAATAACCTTTGAGTTTGCTCTGGGAGCCTGGTGTTAGTTGTAACTTAGCCTCCCTGGTTTCTATACTGCGGGGTCCCAGAGGATGGCATCTGGTCCCCTGGACATAGGCATAGTAGGATGTCCAGTTAAGCATTTGTTGGTTTCATATTCTGCTTAGCAATGTTCGTCTCAGTCTCGAGAGTGGGGTAGCTGCTGGGGCCACAGAGAATACGGAAGTCAGTATCTGTGAGCCTGGCATTCCTTGGAGATGTGCGTGTGTCTTGGCATCACTCCTCTCCTGGGTCCAGGAGCTCTGCACAGTTCTGAGAGTGCACTGTCCCGGGCTCTTGGTGGTATGGAATTCTAGCTCTGCTTCTCCTTGTCTCCCATATACTTGTAAGGTGATGTCAGCCACACCCCAGGGGACCTCCCCTTGCATGGGTGGGGCTAATCCTGCCATGTTAGCACCTAGCAGTCAGGATTCCAGGTGTCACCAACAGAGGGCTGTTTCATCAGTACATCACAGACAGAATTAAGGTCTTGCCAAGATGGCAGTTGGTCAGATTCTAAATTTATTAGGAATTGATTCTCTGACAAAGTACATCTTCTGTGAGATGCCTGGTCCCTGTAGAAATGGTGACATGGGGTCAGGAGTATGTGGTCATCAGCTTGTTGTGGAGTGCCTTCAAGTCAGCTCCGACTGACTCATGGTGCCCCTGTAAAGGGTTTCCGCAGAGTGAACCCTTGGGGTAGCAGTCCAGTGTTTTTCCAACGCCACCGTCCCTGTTTCTCTGACAGTGGGTTCTTAGGGATGTCCGTGAGGTGGTTTTTAAGAACACGGGGTTTGGTGCGTCCCCAAAACTGCTTGCCTGCACCCCAGAAGCCGATGTTTTCAGCAGAGGAGCTGCCATTGGGTGGAAGCCCTAGTCTTCACATTTTGCCTTACAGAGGCCATACAGCCAGGGCAGCCGTGGGGGCAGGGTGTGGAGAGCCTCCTGTGGCTGGGGTTCACTGAATGGCTGCTTCTTGTTGTTAAGCACAGTGGAGTCGGTTCCGACTCATAGCGACCCTGTACAGGGTTTCCAAGGCTATAAATCTTTACGGGAGCAGAATGCCTCATCTTTCTCCCATGGAACAGTTGGTAGTTTCGAACTGCTGACCGTAAGGTTCGGAACCCGATTTGTAACCACTACGCTACCAGAGCTCCTTACTGTCACTTAAGTGCCACCTGCCTTGTGTGTGTAGACAGGTGTGCCGTGACATGGACTCTCTGAGATGTGTGATGGCTCATTCTGATCTTCCTGTTGGTAGCTGTCAAGATCAAGAAAAACAAGGACAACGTGAAGTTTAAGGTTCGGTGCAGCAGATACCTCTACACCTTGGTCATCACCGACAAGGAGAAGGCCGAGAAGCTGAAGCAGTCCCTGCCCCCAGGTGGGTAGCCTGGACTCTGACGGGGAGGGTGCTAGCTGGCAGAGTCCACCTGTCTGCCTGTGTCTTGCTTTGCTGTGTGCATGGTGGGGGTTCTAACTGCAGGCTCCCAGTCCTCCCTCACAACCCTGGGGGGGTGGTGGCTGAGAACCCCTGTTTTCAGAGGTTCTCTGAAATGTAGCACAAAGAAGCAAATGGCAGTCTTTGGGGACATCTTTATTATTGGACAGTAACTGTATTTCGTACCAAACCTGGCTGGCTCCACCTGAGTTGGGCCTGCTCTGTTTGGTGCAGAATCAAGTGTACGTCTGAGTGGCTCACCTCTGACTCTCTCCCTCTAGGTTTGGCAGTGAAGGAGCTGAAATGAATCAGACGGGCTGATTTGAACTGCAATAAAAACTTAAAAATCTCCAGTGCTCTGTGTTCAAGGCTGGGGAGGGAAAGTGCTGGGTGGGAACATGCTGTGGCTCCTGGCTGGGCTTTGGTTTCTGGGTGTGTAAAGCCGTATGGGGGAGGGTGGGCAGGTCCCCGTGGGAATGGGCAGCTTGGAGAGCCAGCTCTCAGGAAGTGGGTCATCTAGTAAGCCATCCCGGTTCTCCCGATTGCCTGTCTGCCCTTCTGTAGTAGTCCGCCCCTCACCCGCTCCGGTTTTGCTAAATTTGTTCTGTGACCCACGAAGAAGGTAGGTTTCAGATAACACTAGTGCCGGGGGTAGTTTTCACGTGCTTCATGAGGACAGTACCTTCACACTATTGGAAAAGGACAGGAGTGCAGTGAGGGTGGTGGGACAATTGTGGGAAGGACCGAGCCAGCTTACGCCACTGTGGGGGAGAGATGTTAGGTGCCAGCCAATCTGCTGAGTCCTGGGCCATCCTTATAACCAGTGCTGGGGTTTTTCACTGACCTTCCACCAAATGTAGTAACCTATAAAGACTGGCCTGCTAACATCCATAGGACTCTTAACCATCCTCTTAAAAAACATCTGCCTCAACTTAAGACATGTCTGCCTTCCTTTCATCTCTGGATGGTAGCCCAGGGTGCAGGGGTAGGACAGGCCTTCCCAGGAAGAGGGAACACTAAAACAGCCTGGGTCAGCACGCCAGACTTCTATCCAAGTTTTCAAGACCAGGGGATACTTCACAGGTATAAAATCCTATGGGAATTAAGAAACCCTATACAGGATCGCTGTGGATCAGAATAGACTGCAACATCCTGTTTGCTTGTGGAATCCTGGTGTGCTGGGCAAGGTCGATGTCAAGCCCACCAGTTGCTCCTTTGAAACCTACACACAGGGTCAATTCAATGGCACTTCACAACAATAAACTTGTTTCTGCAGATGTGGGGGGGAGAACATTTCATTGATAAATTGGTTAAAGGTTTAATATAGGGTTCTGGCACTTGGCAAATTTGAGTGAGGCCAAGAAGCCTGTAAGAGCTGTCATGCTATAGGAGCTCTGTACTGCTCCCCACAAGGCCGGCAGTTCAAACCCACCAGCTGCTGGCTGGGAGAAAGATGAGGCTTTCTGTTCTGATAACGATTTACAGCCTCAGAAACCTCAGACCAGATCCCCTCTGGGTAGAAATTGACTCCGTGGTGAACAGTGGTTTAAAGAGGTTTATGTGATGTGCAGGGGCAGCCCACAAGGTGGCGCCATACTGCAACAATTGAGCCAAACCCTCTAGGAGAGCTGTTCCCAAGGCCACAAGCCTCATTCTAGGGAGCAGCTGGTAGTTTCCAACTGTGACAATGTTTAACTCACTGCACCGCCAGGGCTCCAAACCAAACCCACTCCCACCCAGTCCATCCCAATTTACAATAACCAGTAAATGTCTGGACATATTATGCTCCATAAAATCCATTCCATATATCTCAAAGTCCCTGTAAAAATTGTCAGATACCCGATACAGGTTGTTCTGTTAAGCTCCAGTTTGACTGTTTCTGAAAGAGAAGTTCAAGTGCAGGCAGCACTTTCCCAGTCTAGTCAGGAGTTTGTTGAGAAGTGAGGGTTTTGCTTCCTCCAGGGGGTGGGGTGGGAATGCAGGGCGCTCTGGGTGCTGACAGATGCAGACGTGGCCCCCTTTCCTCACAAACAACTTTCAGCTATGCCATTCTTTAAACATTTAAGATTCCCAAGGAAGAGGGCTCCATTTAGCACTCAAGACGGCTTTGTCTCCATCACATTGTCCACAGACCAGTCCCAGCTCCTAGGAGACCATTCCAGCAGGGATTTGCCCCGCCTCCTTGTTGAGCGAAGGCGTCCATTCAGCCAGCTGGGACACTTTGTATAATACTGTGGTGGATCACGCCCATTCCAGAGAGTCCTAAGTTGTTTGGGACCTAGGTATGCTTTGAAGCTGGCTGTCAATCCTCAGAGTACTGGAAGCCGGGAGGTGATTTAGACTGGGGAGGACGGACACGAAATGCCTACCGGAATGCTTTCTGGGAGGGCTTGCGCCCTCTCTTTTTTGTTTCTTTGGCTCAGCTCCCTAGGTCAGCAGCTGTCTGGGGGAACTTGCAAGCTAAGCTGCTTTTGGTATCCAGCTGCTTACAGTGGCTGTTGTGATGGCCCTATGGGGGACTTGGGGGACCCCTTCTCCCCCACTCCCACCCCAGCCTGGACTTCCCACACCAGCTTTGTCAGATTCCTCCTGCCCATCTGGTCTTTGGCATCTAGCCCTCCTTTCCCCCTGAGGCACTGAAATTCACAATCAGGACTAAAGCTCTTAGAGAAATGGCCAATTCTTACAACTTGGGGTCCCTGAAGGATCAGCTGGTGTTTGGGAAGCTGAGTGGCAGGGACCAGCTGCTCCAGCCTCTACCACTGACATAGAAGAGGACCAGAAAGAGGTAGGAGGATATGTCACAGGTTCAAGGGACAGAAAGCGATGGTGGATGATGCCCTTGTGATCAGTGTTCATGGGAATGGCTAGTGGCCACTGCCTGAGCTTTCCTGTGAAGAGGAGCAAGCCCATCCCTTCACCTCATTCACCTCACAAATCCCATCAGCCTTAAACACTCATCAAATATAAGAGCCCATTGACATTAGCCAAAGGATCCAGTAATGTACACCAGTGAGGCACAAAGGGCCCTGCCTGGGTCATGTGAACGGTTTGCTCTGGGAAACCACACCTCAGAAGGAAACCCTGACCATCTGCTACCATAAAGCGAATAGCCAAGTTCTATTCTGTAACACTGTTGTTGTTAAGTTCCAACTCATAGGGACCCTGTATATATAGGGTTTCCTAGAAGCGACTGGTCTGAACCAACCTTGTAGTTAGCAGTCTAGTGCTTGTTCTACAGTACCACACAGCTAATGAGTCACAAAGAGTGTCCATGTGGGGCCCTATTTCCAGGTCTCTGCCTTCTTCCTGTGAATGGGACCCAGGCACTGCCCTGGTTATCACCTGCCTGGCCTGCCTGACCCTTCACTTCCCAGACAGCCTCCTTTGTTGGCTAAGTGCAGCCCCATGACTTACTGCTGCCAAGGTTGGGACGTCTGGGTGAGTATCTTGGGAAAGGGAAGCCAGGCTAGTATCCCACACCTCCTCCACCTGGAGTTCCCCATCAGATAGGCCCAGAGCTCACCTTTTCCCCAAGTGGGCTTGTTGTTAAGAGCCGTCCAGTTGATTCGGACCCATAGTGACCCTGTATAGGGTTTCTGAGGAGCAGCTGGCGAGCTTGAACCACCAACCTTGCAGTTCAAACGGGGTTTTGCTGTCTTTGGTGCATTAACCCACAGCGCCAGCTACCCCACCCCCCAGCTCCAGTTCCACGCTTTGGCCATTTCCTCAGCTGTTGCAGACCGGGCAGAGGTTCGAGGCCCTATAGCACTGAGTGTATCAGATCTAGCCACTTGGCACTTAATAGCAAATTGTTTTTCATCTTAGTGTTCAGTTATATTTATTTAATTCCAAACATGAGCCCTGGATGTCCAGAGAGAAATGCAATATTCCCCTAAGTTTCTAAGGTCAAGATTTTCCCCCTAGAACCAAGGCAGTACAACTTCCTCCGAGGCGAACAAGGACAGGTTTACTGGGATTAAGCAGGGAGGCTCTGGAGAGGAACTGCCCGGGGTATATTCACTTGGGGTGGAGTGGTAAATTCTGGGAATACGGGATTAAGGACAATGGGGGCAACTCCCTCGGACCACCCTGGGTTCAATCAGTTTGATCCAAGTGAAGGTTAAACCCAGTAAGGAAGAAAGGAATATTGGTTTAAGTAAGGTTTACTGGCTTAATTTAGCTTAAAGATTGTCTTGTCTGAATAATACCATTCTTCTTCTGTAAAGATCCCTCCCTGAGAGAGGAAATAAAAGACGGATGCAGACTTAAGTCTGTGGGCATTATTGCTTGCAGGGTATGAAGAAGATGTCTGCCGGTTTTGCATCTACTCTGGTCTCCGAGTATTTCTTTTCTTTCTCGCCTCTCCAGACATCCCACCTAGAGTTAGTCCGAGAAGGAAAAATGTCAGCCACTGAGCAGTCTGTCTGGCAGCTTGCATCAAGCCCGGGTGTCTGTCTTCTTTGTGTCTGTTTTCTCTCTCTCGCCATCGTCACCAGACACCCCATCTTCGGATTCTCACCCTCTTGCCGAGGCCAGACCCCGGCACTCAGCCACCGGCAGATTCTGAGTCTAGAAACCAAATTCTGTACCAGTGCCCTGCTCTTTTGGGCTGCCCTCTACATCTCCTACCTGCCCTTCCATATAGCTGGAGGCCCCTTCCTCCAGGAATCCTGCCCTTTCCCGCCTACCACGAAGGATCACGGAAACAACCGAAGACATCCTGCCATGGCTGCATGAGTGAGGTGTCTGTGCTGTGGCAAGCGCCCCAGGGCAGGGCACGCGTCCAACCGCTCACGATGAATACAGGAGATGCTTAGTAAACGTCTGGCGGTGAATTCAGATTAGGTTTCCCATCTGTCCCCAAGCTGTCAGTCTGGCAGCCCTGAAAGGGCTCAGCACCTCCCTCCCACAATCAACCCTAGAGACAGCCAGCCTCGTCTCTCTCTAGGACTGCCTGACGCACTCATTCACACTCTCAGTGGCACTGTGGGCTAATGTGTCCGACTGAAAAGTCGTTTGAACTGCAAAGTCGATGGTTCATGCTCACCAGCTGCTCCTTTGTTGTTGTTGTCAGGTGCCATCGAGTCGGAACCGACTCATAGCGACCCCATGCACAGCAGAATGAAACAATGTCAGATTCTGGGCTTACCTCACTACCGCTGTCAGACTTGAGTCCATCAATGATGCCACCTGGCCAATCCATCTCATTAGGGGTCGGTCTTCCTCTTTTTTTCTGTCCCTCCACCTTACCCAGCATGACATCCTTCTCCAGTGACTGTTTCCTC